CCCGCCTCATCAACCAGATTTATTCGGCTATATTTCATTTCCTACGTGCACCGCGGTGCTGCCGATTGGACTATACTCTGCAATTGGCGACTTTTATTTCGGACTCATTCTAAAAACAACGTATCTGTCATTTGTTTCCCCATGCAGATATGTTCGTTTCTGAATAAGCCTGAAGTTGCAGTTCTGTGTTGCAAAGTGTGATCATTAGTGGCATAGCGTGCTGTTGATATCGATTGATCTGCCATTTGAACCTATGGAAAAGGGTCAGTGAACAAAGTATATGTTAATAATAGAGAATTTGCAGGTGTCTGAAATTTTGTGAATTTCATCACAACTATCACGCCTATTTTAACATTGTTTCTTACGTAGCTTTCTAGAGCACACTCCATCTTCACCACTGTCGTTTACAGTTCCGCTTGGCAGAAATACATCCAATATGATAACCGAAACTGTGCGACGAAAATTTGCTAAATCTCTTCTATATTCTAAATGCACAACGGGTTCTGTTGCAGGTCAAGGAAGCTGTCAAGCCCGACGGGACTTGCTCGGTTCGGGGATGGACATGGACCAGACGCGACTCTCCCCGGTGCTGGTGGTCAACGAGCAGGAGCGACTGTCGGCGGCGGCGGCAGGGCGACAGGAGTCGGGAACGATGGAGATGCTGGCGCCGGGATACGCGAGCGCCACCTCGCGGCGGCCCCCGATGACGCCGGCGCAGTCGCTCTCCTACTCCTCGGCCTCGCCGCCCAACGGGCCGGCCCAGTCCTACGTGAGGCGCGACTGCGAGGGCGACGACGACGAGGACGAGGAGGACTCGTTGCAGAACACGCCGCTCCTCTCGCACAGCGCCAGCAGCCCGGCCGCCGCCGCCTACGCCAACCCCTCCAAGTCCCGCCTCCAGAGGTCCTTCCTCTCCACCATCCTCAACCACCGCGACTACGCCAACGACTCCGATACCAATTCGCACTGCGCCCTACTCATCACTCATGACGGCCTACCCGATCCGGAGGTAAATTCATAAATCTTTCACTTCCATGCAGAAAACTATGCGGCTCCGCCACCTTCCCAAGGGAGGAAATTTTAACTTGCGGGAATAAAACACGTACTTTTCCACTGTTGAGGGTGAAGAAGTGAAATTCGACCCCGGAGTAAATACTGCGCCAAAAAAAACCCCCAGTGATATTAATGCGAAGTGAAATTAGCACCATAAAAACGCACGACGTTCCCACAGTTACCATAATGTTACCATCTTCGAATTACCTGACTTTTCACTGACTCAAAAATCTTCGGATTCCCTGACTTTTCCTGGCATTCGAACAAAACTTCCGCTTTGATTTTTTCTCCTTTACAATACACTCACTTTTGCGAAACGTTAAACACATTAAATTTCCTGACTTTATGAGTGAATTCCCTGACTTTCCCGGTTTTTAGACCGCCTTCAACCCTGCCTCCGCAAAAAGAGTAGATTCCGCTACATGATTCTGTAAATCACTTCGTAAGGAGAAAAAATTTCACTCTGTATGTCATATCACTCGGTATTTTTGAGCGATACAAAGACTCCGGGATAGAATTCCACTCCAAAATTTTTAACAGTGTGGACAGCTATCATAAGGCAGAGAATCACCAACCTTTTTTCGGCTGTTGGCCTACCTACTAGGTGGATGTTGAGGTCCAGGTGATTCGTCCAAGTCATCGAATAAGCTAATCACAATACCTAACCTCGATATTTTGATGGTTAGCTTTGATAGTGTGACATAGGCAATACATGTTTTCATTTATGAGCCAAAAAATGTAGTCGCTCACCAAGAAACGCAGTTGAAATGTACACAGTGCGGAGCCCTAAAATACGGGAGCCAATCACAAAAGTATTCCTCAAAGGCCGTTCCTAAATTACGTAACGCTCTAGGAGAGGAGGAGGAGTCGAGAAGAGCGTTACGCCATTTTTTTTTACATGTTAAAGAATGAGGACCTACGTAACAAAAGCGTTACAAGGAGGAGGAGGGGATCAAAATGCCGAAAAAGTACGTTACTTGCGAAATTCGTTGTCTCTCAGATGAAGAAACGTAACCCCATTCCAAGGTTGCTAAACTGCCTCAAACAATTGGATTACATTTTGCAATAAGGAATCGCCATCTCTGACTATTCCTTAAAAACGCATATCTACATAAAGAAACCTATGGCACTTACGTTGTTTCAAAAATGAGCTAGACATAGTGGTTCCTTATTGCAAAATTTAATCCAATTAAATTATCATACAAAACTGTACCGGTGCAATTTTTATCAAAGTTCGTCACGATTTTGGCATGAAATCTGAGGAAAAATCATTGAAATCTTCAGTAATGAATGCTCAAGACGCTCCTCAGGGTTGCCACCGAATCTAGAAAATGAAATTTTCTGACAAATTTTAGTAAAATTCCCTGACAGTTGAAGATGCGCTAGATAGTTCAAAAGACATGATTAGAAATAGTTTTTAGGCCAAATTTGTTTTCCGAAACGTCAAACCCGTTCTAGAGAGCAAATAAATGTGACCTGCCAATATGACATTTTCGTCATTTTCTCTGACATTTCCAGGTTTCCCCTGACTTTTTAAGATTCCCTGACATTCCCCAGTTTTCTCTGACTGTGGCAACCCTGTCTCTTGCACTGAAAAAATAGTTCTGTTCACAGGGCTCCTGCACTTCTTTTGCAACAGTCACAGAGGCTTCCGTTATGAGGAGAGAGTACTCTGTTCCCACGACGGAAATCCTGTTCTCACAACAGAAAAATTCTGTAAGTGTAACAAAGAAACTGCAGGAGCCCAATGAACAGAAGGTTCTGTCGTCAGCACCATCTATTTTTTCCTGTGCGGTTCCTAGCAATTTGAGATGGGAAATTTCGGCAACATTAAAATGGAGTTACGTTCTTTCGTGAGGGAAACGGAGAATTTGGGCTCCTTACGTCTTAACTGACTGGGAGCTGAATAAAAGGACTGGAGGTGGGGGATGGATCCGATCAGTGGTGTGGCGTGAATGATCGATTATCGTATCTCCCCATTTGAACTATGTTAAAGAATCGATTGGACGTATTTATGTTAAATGGAACTATGTGCAAGTGGAAAGATGGGGTGTGCTCGTTAGTTGAGGGTCAAAAGAATGAGTGGGAAATATAAAGCGTCAGTGACGTCAGCGACAACGAAGCCGTCATCGTCATCGTTCTCACTCGTCTTTAACTCATGAGCCTTGTCCTCAAGGCTTTTATCACATGCCCACGGCTTACGAGTTAGCGCTCGGTTCCTTTTGATTAAATGTCAAATCCCGCTTTCCAATTCTCTAAAAAGGAACTATATCCACTTTTACATTGTTTCTTATGTGGCCTTCACGGGTTCATCTTTTCACCACCACATACAGTAGCCGCTTGACAATTCGAAGTTGGAGGGACCAGGGATTTTCTTCGAAATAACGAGTTTTCAAATTGGCGAGATTTCGAATTATGGAGAGCGGTCACGAAAAAATTCGAAATAGAAAGAGTTTCAAATTAGCTGTATAATTCCAAGTGGTGAAACCGAACACTCTATAATTCGAATAAGATAATCAGAGGATTTAATCGTATGTACATCAAAACCACCACCTCGAGACTTGGAATTATAGAGCGCCCGGCACAGATATTTCGAATTACAGAGCTTTTCACAAGCCGTTTTCCCACCGAAAAATTCGAATTACCGAGGTGGTGAAAATACACTGAATTTTTCGAATTGACGCGATTTTCCCGAGGGGATCGGCGTCGCCGTCGAATTATCGAGCATCGAATTGTCGATCGGCTACTGTAGTTCCTTTTAGCACAAATACGTCCGATTATGAAGGTGTTGGTGGCGAGCACCCTGTTTATGGATCCTCTTCCATCAGTGGCGTGGCGTAAATTGCGATATATCAATTGTTATGCCATTTAAACCTATGGAAAAGGATCGATAAACAGGGTGTTCGCAGCGAACACCTTAATGATCGATTCTTTACCATAGCTTCAAATGGCGAGATATCGATAATCGATTATTCACGCCACGCTTCTGTCTTCCATGGGGTGAAATGGGAGAGGAATGTATGTATTGGACTGGATCCGGTCCGGGTCGGGCTTTTCTTCGATAATTGAATCAAGCTCCTGATCTGATTGCGCAGGAGGGCAACTCTGGCTCGGAGCGGAAGCGGAAGCAGGAGTCCTACCGCGGCTCCCACTCCACCAGCAACGGGAAGAGCAGCGGGAGCAACGGGAACTCGTACGAGATGAAGGAGATGAGCCGGAGCCAGGGAGCGTGCTCTCACTCGCACTCGCAGTCGCAGTCGCGCTCTCACTCGCACTCGCACGGCTCCTCGCAGGAGCTCTCGCCCGGGAGCCAGATCTGACTACGGCGCTTCGTCAACGCCTGGTTCCGTCCCGCCGACGACGACGAGTTCGACCTCACCACCACCCGCCCCCGCTCCCGCTTCCCCCTCAACTTCAAGTACACCTACAAGAGGTCAAAAACTTGCGACTAAAATACTCACCCGCCACCAGTGTTCCAAACTCACAACAGCCAACTCCGCCTAAAAAGTGAAGGCTCTGCGCCATCCTGGCCCCTAAAAATTGCCCCCCCCCCAAAAAAAAAAAAAAAAAATTCTAGTTTTTCAGTTTGGTAATTTTTCGAAATTTCCCCCAAGTAACAGCTACTAGTTCTGTAACTAAAACATCTTGCGTCTAACTCGTCACTGAATGCGCCGTGATACATAGGCAAAAACTCAATTTGGCCCCTAAAAATCTTCAATGGCCCCTAAGAATCGAGCTCGTTGCGCCACATGGCTCCTGAAACTCCAAGGTGAGTTTCGAACACTGCCGGCCACACGGTGGATCCAGTCAATAGGAGAGCTCCGACAAAATTCCCAAACTGATCCGAATTTCGGATCTTTTGACTAGAGAAATCTGGTTATCTGAACCAATAATTTTGGCGTTACATGAGAGCCATGGTGTTTTTCTCGATACGTATCTGTTAATGAAGAAATGACCAAAAGAAAAGCGTGAAACTATCTATAGAATGTAGGAATTAAGGGGTGATTCGTTGGATCAAGAATAAGCTCTAATGGTAAGAATGACAAATAGAGCTTGGATATAAGGGAGCAAAAGCACAACTTTGTGTTGTTGTGTTGTGCAGTGTTGTGCAGAAAGAGGTTCAAAATATGCGACTAAATCAATGACGAGGCCAAGGACCAATGTAAAAAAAAAGATGTTAAGAAACACAGAGCTTCTGATAGAGTCGAGGGAATTTGATTCCAATCTGGACATATCTCTGCCAAACGAAACTATGTGCATTAAGATATGAGCCCTGAGACCTATAAGGATATACGCATAACAGGGCTCATAGGGCGTCATGATGCACATAGTTCTATTTGGCAGAAACACGTCCTTTTGATAATCGCAGTCCTTTCATGAAGAGGAACCACTGGTGCATGAATGCACGTATGAAATCATTTCATGGTGGAGAAAAACTGGGAGCAGATTTGACGCCTCTGGAATGAGTCCAAATTGGTTCCCTCATTTGAAATCTGTGAACAATTGTCATCAAACTAAGAGACTAGAGAGTATGATAAAACTGAAATGCAGGCCAAGGTATTAGGAAGCAAAATATGATATCCTATTGACGAAAGTATTTGAACGATATGGACTCCACAATCACCTATTTTTACAGGGTGATCAATTGCAGATAAGTCGTAAGTGATTAGGGGGGTTAATCAGCCCTCTTGGAATCCCCTCATGAGAAGCGTTTAGTCCGAAAACGACTGCACAAATGAAAAGGAACGGTACTGCGGAAAACGTACGACTAAAAATTAATGACATTGCAGGGAAGGTAGTTTCTGAAAAACTTTGACACCAAAAGACGCAGGTAAGTATTGGATGTCAAATGTAAGCAGACGAAATTTTTTTTGAAAATCATGAAGTTCCTCCCCCTTTCCAACCCTGCAAAAATAGGTATGTTTACGGAATGATAAGGAATAATGCTGCCTTGCTAAGGAAAAACGGCGTATGAGCCTTTAGGCGTTGATAAATTTCCTTGGACAAATTACTAATTTTCAAGAAAATTTGCGCATATTTTTCTTCGAATTTCTCAGATAATTTTGTTCCTAATTTGATCTTAATAGTCTGAAAATTTGAAAGGAAAATATTCACAACTTTCTTCAAAATTGAACATTTTTTCGTAGGAAACTTGACAACCCTCGAATGCTCATACGGCGTTCTTCCTTGACACGGCAGCATGGGAGAGGAAAAAGTCGAGGTTAGCTTTTTGGAACGTCTGTCTCTAAAATAAAAATAGAAACACGGAAAAAGAAAAAGCACTGTTGAATGACTTCTAGGCGTGCGTGCGAAGTTCAGAGCGACTTAATGGAGGAGAAAGCAAAGTTAGGATGGTTAGTTAGACTCGCTGTTGAGAACTCATTAGTAAGCAACTCGCGATTCTCTTTTCGCACAATATAGTCAGAAACTCCATAACTTGGTATACTGTCAATATTGACCGTTTTCATTAAAAATAACTGCTGGCTTATGGCTTGAATCCAAAGACACATAAGGGTGGTTTCACGATAACTGGAATAGTTTTATCGCCGTAACAGACAACACATTTTTCGGTCATATTTTTAATAGTATTGATAATCACTCAAATTTTTTCGCATTAATCTTCGAAGGGTTACTTATTATAACGCTTTATAATGATTTATTGCTCTACTGCTCGATTAATATTATGTAAATTCCGAAAATGTGCTGTCTGTTACGCGGTAAAAAGTCAGCGAAACAGACAGCACATTTACGACCATTTATGTATTAAAATTGAGAAGTACAGCAATACATCTTTGTAAAGCGTTGACACGTAACCCTGTGTGGATTAATGCAAAAAAATTCGAGTGGTTATCATTACTACTAAAAATATGACAGAAAAATGTGTTGTCTGTTACGGCAACAAAACTATTCCTCGTGAAACCACCCATAACTACATTTACCAAGTTGCAAACTCTCATCGAGTTCATCGATTTCAAGAGACGATTCTTTCATTAAAAAAGACAAGAATACCTGACATTTGTACGGACTTGATTATTCTTGGCGACTTTATTGAATTCGATCATCAGTACATAGTTCTACGACCAACGCAATCGACTATGCCGAAATCGAGATCAAACCTAATTTGACCAGCTGTTTTCATTCTACACGTCCTCTGGTAGAAGAGGGCCGAGAGGGAAGGGTCAAAATGGACAGGGCATCAGACCAGAGTTTCTGTATATTAAGTAAAATTTAATATAATAGAAGAGACCCTAGCGAGACTCAAGAAACTCAAAATTGAGATATTGGCACCACCTTGAACAATTTAACTGATGTTTTGGCTAATGAACGCTCCAAATTGTTAAACCACACGAGAATTTCAAAAATTGTGATTCCGAGACAACGTAATCTAGAGTTCCAATCTATCACGTTTAGACTCGGAATTATTGGATTGTAATGCGTCATTTTATTCTCATGATTGGCAGAATAATGAGCTCAAGTCCCCGCAATTCATTCTGAAAAAATACTCTTGAACGTTTTCTTGACGAGGACACAGAAAGCAATTTTGAGACGCAACTTGAAAAAAAAATCGCTCTTCTAACAAATTTTATCCCACTACTAAACCTTTACATTTTCCGGAGGACTATCAAAACGAGGGTCTGAGCGGTTGCTAGATATCTTGCGGGAGCCATTCTAATGGTTCGGCAAATTTGAGTTTCTTCCATCTTTAGTATGTTAAACAATCGATATTTATCGAGACATGCTGCCTTATTTAGAATCGATTGTTTATGATGGACTCAAATGGAATAAAAACAGGACTGGAAACTTGCGAGAATCGGGAAATGGGACGCTAAAAATTCGAGTGATTACCATAATAATTCTAAAGAAAAAATATTGACAACGCATGCCACGAGGCCGCGTGTGACCCTCTCGGCATTCGACGTTCAACACTGGGTCTCCTTGATCTTTTTATTCGTTATTTCTCTAAATAGTTACTGAATTGTAAAAACGATAATAAAAGTTATTGATTTTATACTGTAAATGTACGGAAAGCCTGGCATTCTAACGCCATTGGATTATCCAGGGAGCTTCCGGCTAAATTGTATTGGTTATTAAGTTCTCATCATTATATAGTTTATTATACTTGTAAATATTAAATAAAATACTTTAGTTACATATCTGTTCAGTGTTTAATTTCTATCTCTACCTGCAAAAATTCGGTTCGTCCTCTCAGGTGACTTACACGTCAGACACCTGCGGGCTGATTCTTGAAATTGGTAGACAAAGCTATTGACAAAGAAGACAAAATGGATAAGGAGGGATTCTATTGGTGGGTGCGGGTGGATGCAATGGACAAAGAGGGGAGGTGATACACCAACTAACGGCAAATCACGGGAGACCTTACAATTAATCCATCATTTTCTCCTTTAATCTATAGGAACCATCCATTTCAACCAATAGGATCGCTCCATAATTCCTATGACTTCTTTGTCTATCAATTTCAACAATCAGCCCGTTGGTACTTACTTAGGAGAAAGGAGGGTCCAGGTCTTCATGACAAATCCCTACGGCGTTGTGAGAACTGAGAAGGGAAAATAAGACGGGTTTTCAGGAAAGGAAGAAAGGGGTCAAAAAATTGGAAATGGTACCCATCAGGCATCTATCACGTGTAGATGGTCCCCATGGACCATAATGCTTTCTGATGAAATGGACGTATTTATTCTAAAAGGAACTAGAGACAGTTAGTAAAAATGGGGTATGCTCGTAGCAGTTATATATAAAACAATGTAAAAGAGGGCGCGATTTCTTTCGGAAAAATGGAAAAGAGGGATTTTACATTGAATCAAAAGGAAGTAAGCGCCAAATTATGCTAACTCATGAGCTTTGCGCATGTGACGAGAGCGTTTTGGACAGAGGTCATGAGTTAAAGACCGACAAGTCACTCCCGTCGTCGCCGCTGACGTCACTGGAGCTTTAAAATTCCCGTCCATTCTTACGCTCCGAAAACTAACGAGCACCCTTCCTCTACCCTACCCGACTCTACTTCCTTTTAGCATAAAACTTCCAAATCGCGGCTTTACTTCGAGTATGCAGGGTTCTAGTTTTTTTTTTTTTTTTTTCATTTCCGGAAATCCTGATGAAATCCTGGGTTTTGCTGCTTTTTGACTACTAAATCCTGATTTCATAATTTTTCCAAATCCTGATTTTTGCGGAGAAAAATTGGGCGAATGTAACTTGACAAAAATAGCTCGATAAAAAAATCCGATCGGACAGCCTACTTTTCTCAAATCCTGATTTTGCGACCGATATTTCCTCAAATCCTAATGAAATCGGGATTAAATCCTGATTGACCTCAAATCCTGATAGAAGCGGGGAAATGGGGAAAATCCTGATGCTAGACACCCTGTATTATTAGTTTAAGTTGTGTGAGGCGAACACTCGCTCTTGACAACTGAAAACTTGACACAAACTGATTGCGATGGACGCACGAGTCGTAAGGACAGTAAGTTTGACATGCAGCCAACTTGCCTTAAGATCCAGAAAACTAGAAATCTCAATACAGAACGAAACCGCTCATTCGAGCACAATTTTTTCGTCGCAACTATTGTTTGCC